CTGAGGTTACAGTTGTTAATTTGGGAGCCTATTCATAATGGGAACATAGAGGATTTGAGGAGTGTGTTTACAGTATAAATCAGAAGAGGTTGTAGGTGTGATCTTAACCTGTCAGAGGAGACACCTGAGAAATAGTGCACACAGCTTTGTATCTTTTTAACTTGGAGGGACAGGTTACGAACAGTGAAATATCATGTTTACTAAGCCAGTGCCTTGCTAAATCTGCATCTTCAAGAGGCGACTTGAGATGGCAATTGTGTTTCTGAGTATGGCTTTACATCTCAGTGGTATGCAAAGCATCTGAGAAAATGTAGCAATACTTAATAAAGTTAATGGGGAAAGGTCAGCTGAAAGCTGTTTGTTGTAGTGGTATATAAACCTCCCTGTAACATCTGTTCCCTGTTATTGTTATAAAAATGCTACTTCATTAGATCTTGGCTGGATCATGAATTAAGTAGTGATATGTAGTAAAACTTGCAATCGCATTAGGCTTGTCAGAGTGCATATGCTGTGAATCTGGCTGGTGGCGGGTGGCACTCTGGGGAGCCACATGGCTTGGGGGAATGGGAGAAGGGAGGCTTTCTGCTTTTTTAGCACTGGTTGAAACCCAGCTGAGGGTGGAAAGGATTAAGTTTCAGTGTTGTCTGTAAACCGGCTGGTGCTCCTAATAGGATGAGTTGTTCTGTCTCTGCCCAGCTCCAGGAACACAGCTGTCTCCACCGCTGAAAGCACCCAAGCTGACAGCACTGCCTGTCCCCCCATTCACTGCTCTGGTGAAAAGGAGTAGGACCGGATTGTTCCGAGTGAGAAATGAATCTTCTTCCTCCTTCTGGAGAAGTTCCTCTTGGGTAAGAGGAGAAAAGGCAGAAGAGTTTGAGCATCTGCCTTTCGTACTGCCGTGGCTGTGCTCTGCTCAAGTGGAGTGAAGATGCTGCAGCCAGATGCCACCGCCGCCGGCTGTCCCTCTGCGTGGGGACAGCCTCGGGGGCGCGTGATGTGGGGCCAGGGTGGATGGAGCTTAAGGAATCCGCCTCTCTGGGGAGCTCCTTGTCCCGCTCCTGTCTGGCCAAGGCACTTGCAGATGGCCTATGTGCTGTATCTCAGCAGGGCAGGGCTTAGAGTGGATGTGTACTAACGCACGGGCACGCAGTGCATGCGTACACAGGCGTCTCGTCAGAGAGCACCGACGCCTGCCTCCCTGTCCCCCATCGTGTCTGCCCGCCTCTGAGGGCTGGGACATCACTGAGGTGAGGATGACCTGTAGGAAACTCAATGAAATCTGTTTTTCTCAGAGGACACCGTCACGTCATCTTGCATTTCTTTGGCTACCAGTAATACCTTGTTTCTGGTTCTCGCTGTTAAATCATTAACTTTGAGGGTTGCATTTGAAATCTGCGTCTGACGGAAATTCACAGTCACTTGTTGCTTGAATCTTCAGCAACTTTAACCCAGCTATTTTCAATGCATATCCAAAGCAATAAACTCTTCTGGTTTGTAGCCTGTTGGGTTTGTGGGTTTTGTGTTAAGCGTAAGGAGAACCTGGGCGTATTGAATAAAGAAAGAATCATTACTATATGTTTACCTATCAGGATTGGAACATCCTGTGGGAAAATATGTTTCCAGCCAGCTCTTCCTGAGAAAAGCTCAGCTTCTGCCAGTCCTTGCTGACTTCACTTGAAGTTGTTTGGCTCTCAGTCCCTGTGAAATCCTAAGCAGCCCTGAATCAGGCATCGCAGACCAAGGTGCTCCTGACTCCCTCTGAAATATTTTTCTCATAATTCTTAGAGAAGGCAGTCTAGATTGCAGACATTTATTATGATGGGGAAGATAGAAGTGATTTTTGAGGCCAACAAAGTTCAAAGACTTTGCTGTAAGTTTTCAGGATTAAAGATTTACTTGATGCATCTTCCCATATTTAATAGACAGGAATAGATGAAAGGGAATTTCTATAAAGATTTTCGTTCATACTTAATGATGCTACTATTAGATGAGCTTTGGCACTGCGTCTCAAGACATGAAGTTTTAAAACCAACCTTTTTTAAACATTAAATGACCTTTTTCATCTGCTAGCTTTAATAAATAAAGATTAGTTCAGTCTCATTACCTAGTCTGTTCTGGGGGCTGGTTTAATATTGGGTAAAACTAACTAGTGTCCCAAAATGCAAGTGAACAAATTTTGCTGGTTTTCTATCACAAGCCCCACAGGGGGATAGGAAGCAGTAATGTAGTTTGATTAGTGGCTGGGCTGTAGGAGTGCGACCACCACCACCTCCATCCTGGGATTCAGGCTGTCCAGCTGTGTTCCTTTCTTTTCCAAAACCTGCCACCTGCTGCGAGCACTTTCCCCTTTCTCATGTATTTGCTCCCATAGCTGCTGCAAAGTTCAAATTCATTCAGAGCTGAATAGGGAAGAGGGTTTGTTGGTGGATTGTTTTTTTTTTTCCTCAGCTGAAGGGAAGTTTTCAAGATTTCCAAAAATAAGAATGGAAAGTCCCATCCTGAATAGAGACAAAAAACCTTTGTGCAAACATTTGTGTCTAGGTGGCCTGAGGAAATTATTTGAAATGCTTTGGTTTTGACTCTTGTATTTTTAAAATGTATTTAACTATACATTAGTGGAAGTGAATTTTTTTTGAAAACTGGTGATTGAAGAATATACTTGAAAATGTCCAATTTAGTGATTTTGAAGCTTTAAATTACAAAATAATGAATCTAAGAATGCTGACATACACTCCCCCCACCCCGATCTTTAATTGTGCTATGTCAGCACCTGGACCGTAAGCAGCATTTTGTGATGTTCATCAGATTCAGTACGTTGCTTTACCATTTCCTGGAAACAGGGCCATGGTGAAAAGTTTACGCACATCAGACAGTTTTGTGTATGAGGACTTCCTTCTCTGTCTCCTTCTGCTTTCCTAGAGAAGTGGGGCGTCGAGCAAGCTGCTTGTTGGGGCGCTTTATTCTCCCAGCTTCTCTGTAACTAAGAGCAGTCACCAGCCATACCAATGTCTTAAAAAACCTGTGATCCATGCTCCTGGCCTTAGAGGAAAGCACAACCTTTTTTCTTGCATAATGAGATTAAGATTAAGTACCCTAGCTTTGCAGATAATGATGGTGCTTGCATGTTAGCGGAGCAGAGGAGATGGTGTCGCCTGAAGGACTGGGAGTGTTCGCCAAGACATCTGTGCATATCGTACAAGAAGTATTGCTGTGTGTTTCTTTATCAGTACTGAGTTCAGTTTAGCTCCCATAAAACTGGGGAGAAGTAGGAAGAGAAGGAGTTCTTGAGTGGGTATCATCGGGGTACAAAGTAAATCAGGCTAGTGTGGGCTACCTTTGCTTCACCAGCGGATTTGGTCTCTAGTTACCTTCCACAGCTGGGGTTAGGGTGGGACTGGAAAGAAGAGGTGCTCTGCAATTTTGTCATGAGAGTAGAGATCCTGCTGGGATGAGCATAGCAAGGCTGAGAAATGAGCCCCGAAACGCAATGCAAGTTTGTTGTTGAAATTGGGCTATGCTTTGAGTTTTGGGGTTGGTTCAAAGGAAGTCTTGGGGGCAGGAAAGCCAAAGTGAAAGAAGCCTGAACCTAAGACAGGTTTCTTCACTGGGCTGGGCTGTGTCGGAGGCTCCGTATGTTGGTGGCAATGAAGGGTGATCGGTGCCCATGAACTGGGGGAGCAATGAGGACCTTCAAGGCACAAACTAGCCCTCTGAGGAACATGTTCTTAGTCCCACCTACAGCACTACATCACCATGCTTCTCTAACAGTGGTCCCAGTTAGCTATGTCTTCAAAAATATATGTATCCTTGCACTCTGCTTCCAGTGTTTGCTCTTAGGGGGGCAGGACACCTCCCATTTATAGCTGATGTGCTTTACTTCAGCTGCCAGCTGATTTACGTGTTTCACTCTGGTTTTCCCTATCGAAAAAAAAAAAACCAACCCAAACCCCAAATCTGCAGCCGCACAATGACGTGTTTCAAAGTTTCAACAAGGCACCTAGCTGCTGTGGTTCCCCATTTCCCTGACACAAAAACCGGCAGAGCCCCACTAATCCCTGCTTTGCGAACCTACGCGGTGCGGGGCCTGATTTGGTGCTGAGCTGCGACTCTGTCTACACCCGAGCAGTTCTGAATGGCCTTGCTCCCTTTGGAGCGATTTTTGGGAAGGGAAGATAAGCATTGGTGCCTTTCTAATATACACAATAAAACCCAATGCTGCTCTTCCCCAGGTACAACTGAATAGCTGCATTCTGGGAGGAGACCTCCTATTAGCAAGGATAAACCCACTGAGGTGCAGAAGTTGTGCCAGCTCGTAATGAAACACTGTGATTAATGCTGGACTCCAATTTCTTTGTGCCTTCCGTCAAAAAAATAAAAATAATACCCCGCACTATCTCCCTCTGCCTAACACAGATTTGAGTGGGCAGGCCCAGGAGCTGAGTTCAAGAGTCAAGTTTTTCTGTTTGAAAAATATTTGTCCCTTCCCACCCACGGCTGCCCACATGCTTCCTGAAATATTCCAGCTATCAGCACCGTACCAGTGCTTTCTCAAACGAGTGAACTGAGGCTATCTGGGGACGTTCTTCCTTTGTTGGGATGTGAGGCAGTGCCCGGGATCCTGGCTGCTTGGGGCTGCACAGCTGGACGCCCCTCTCTAGGAGCACCCAGGGCTGCAGCGGGTGCTGGGCACCTCCAGGACCCCAGCAGCGTAGGCGGCCGTGTCGTGCTCCAGCGCGCCGGCAGGTACCGCAGCCGCTGCTGCAGAGATTTCGCCGCCCACGTGTCTGGCAAGACCCGGGAGGTGGGCGAAGCCGCGGGAAAGGCCGCGCGTGGGAGGGAGGACGCGCTAACAATAGCGGCGGCAGGAGCGGTAGTGCCAACGCGGCGGCCGCTTCCGTGGCGGCGGAGATCCCGAAGGGGTGCTGGGAATGGGGGAGACGGGGAGACCCGAGACGGGTCCCCGCCAAGGCTAACCGCTGCCAACACCTTTGCTCCCGCAGCTGCCATTCTGGATGACCCCATGGAGTGCAGCAGAGGGGAGAGGCTCTCCATCACCCTGGCCAAGAACCGCATCAACCGTGCGCCCGAGCGGGCGGGGAAAGCCAAAGTGGAGGTGGACATCTTTGAGCTGCTGCGAGACAGCGAGTACGAGACGGCAGAAACCAGTAAGTAACCCTCCGTGTAGCTGGTCCTTCCCCAGTTCTTCCCTCTGCCGGCTCGCAGGAGGTGTCTGGCTTGTTGCACTTGTCGCGGAGGATAATTGTGTGACAGTCAAGGCGGGTACCCAGGGTAAAAAGCGCCTCTCTGCTCCTCTATCAGCACTTGAAAGATCAACACGTGCGAGCATGAAAGAGGGTCTCTGCCCGAGCGCAGTCAGGTTTGGTGCAGGGGTTCGGTACGGTCTGGGTGCGGGTGCAGCATCCCCTCGGGAGGTGAGTGGGACCTTCAGCAGCACTCGAGCTGCGTTCGGTGCCAGCTGTGCATTTGGAAGGGCAGGCCCTGCCTGGGCGCACCCGCTGCAGGGGCACAACGGCATATAAGGGGACGTCTAGGCTCAGAGGGCGAGCGCTGAGACCGGTTTTCGTTTGAGTATTTCGCGTGGTGTTGTGAGGTGAGCCCTGGCATGGACTAAGAGGATCTGGGTCCCCGGTAAGCTTTGCCACCATTCAGCTCAGCGGCTTGGGACAAATTATTTTCTTTAATCTGTGTGTCAATAAACAGAGGTAATGATACAGGAGGTGATACTCCTTTGTAAAGTACTTCTTAATGGTGTGCAAATTAGAGACTCTGGGCAAGTTCAGTGCAATTAAGTTATTTTTAAAACCCCATGGAACGCTGTGTGTCAGCAAACATGATAGCTCTTCCAGTGCTTTAGATTGGCAGTGGATTTGTTTACACAAAGCGAAGTTTTCAAGTGATGTTTAAAATCATGTGGATTAGAAAGAGCTAATTTTGAAGGAGCAGTATACTTCCCGCGTTGCTTTAAAGTCCTTTAATGCAAACAGGTCTCTACTATAACTGTTATTCTAGATGCCCAACTTGTCAACTCCACACTGATGAATAAAAAAGAAATTGATGGTCCGTGTCCCACAGACCTCTCAGGAGCCCGAGTGAAAGAAACCAAAAAGATCTATAATAGCTTCTTCCTGTAAGAGGGAAAATCCTTTGGAATAGGATAGCTTCCCTTTAGAATAATTTTTAAGACGACCTTTAGAGTTCAAGGGAGGACTATAATTTTTTATTACAAGTTGGCTTGAAAAAGCTGGAGAAATCATTTTAAATAATAGCGATATTAGACTCATTTCCCAATGGTTCTCTGTTCCAAGCCTCTGTAATCTGCAGAGTACCCCCAAAAGGTGTGGTAGTATGTTGTGGTCTAGAGCAGGCTGTTTTTTCACACAGCTTTGGTGTTTGTTCTGCACAGACTGAGCATCCCTGTGCCTGGGAGGCCCTGTGGAGCCGCACACCCTGCGCTGCTCAGGAGCAGGTCTCCGGATAACTGGCAGAACGGGCTCAATAGGCCTGCGAGATCAGCAGATTGCTCCTTCATTTCCTGAATTAGCGTTTGCATTATTTATAGAAGCGTTCAGTTAATAAAGTGCATTTCAGCAAGTACCTGTATGTCTATTTATAGAGCCTGTCACCCATGAGGCAGTCTAGATTAAGATCATCACATGCAGCGTCACAGGGACTATTTGAAATAGCAGTTCTCCACCTTTTCGGATGCCTCATCTCTTTTAACTTTTTCTTGGTCTTTCCCATCCGTTCAGGATTGTGCGCGTCCTGCTTTACCCTCATTTGGCACAGCAACAGGGCAAATCCAGTCTCACTGGCCAGGCCATGCAGAAGGGATGGGGACTGCCTGGGTTTCCAACTGCATTCCCAGTTTGCCCCGAAAGTATCCCAAATCTCCCAGCGAGCGTCCTAGGAAATGAAAAAAAAATTGCTTACTTGCCTGAGCCTTCTGTGTCTTTGAAAGAACCAGTAGCATTTTTAGTTCCATTCTTTTTCCATTCTCGTAAATCTTCTGCATGTAGCAGTGTTTCTGTTATTTAACTTTGCTTGGGAAACAGGCTCGATTGTCAAGTGACCCCAGAGCTGCAGTAAAGATGGTGAGCGGGATTTCTTGCTTGCTTGCCCCCCTGTAACACTGCTCGGAAATTACTCTGTTGGAATGTTTTTCAAGCAGAAGAATACTAATTTGCTGAGAATGAAGTATTATGCAAGAAATTGTTGATTTCAGCAAATGTGGTGTTTGGGGAGAATATGGAAATGGGATAAGTGAGGAAGAGGCAATCTTCCATTTCAAATTTTCACCTCGGGGTGATTTTCTTTGTTTTCTTTACTTTGACTTATAGAATGTAAAAAGAAATCGGAGCAAACTGATTTGATTTTGGTGAAGTGAGTATTCACATAATTTTGCAATATGTTATTTGCCTTTTCTAAAGAGTGAAAAATGTCTTGAAGCATTTCTTACAAAAGGAAAAATCTGGATTCTGCATGGCTCTGCTATTAATGTCACTGAAGTTATTCTCGATTTATACTGGTGGCAGAGGAGAATCAGATCCTTTAACTTAAATTTCAAGGCTTTCATGGCTTTCAAATGTCTGACTTCTCAGCTTTAATACGGCACTGATATTTGTTATCACACGTAATATTAATAAAGGCAGTTTAGATGTTTTAACCTATGACTGCAAAGCTGTTATACATCTGTTTAATACTGTTCTCAAATTTCACGCCCTTTGAATCCCCCTTAAATATCACAGCTAGCATGCTTAGTCGACTGATCTAGGAATGCTGTGATTACACCCCATCAGTGATATTCTGTGTACAGTTAGTGCTTCAAGAAAAGAAAGACTTTTTGAGAGTTAGTTTTTTATTTTAGAGTTGAGCTATCTTTCTTTGTTTTTTTCCTCCTGACTGACTCAGGCATCTTACTGTTAGGGGGCCACAAAATCACAATTGCTATAGCAGGTAAAATATGAGTCAGTCTTAATCACATTCATGCATGGTTTGCAGTTTCAGCTTTATATATGAATGAAGACAAACACTGGCTGTTCCTGTATGCAACATCTGTAAAGTCCTGTGTTTTGAAATGAGTTTGCAGTGAAAGGTTATGGATAGAGCTTTTTTTGCTCTTCTAAGTAAAGCCTGTTGTCTCTTTGTGATTGATGTTTCAACTCTTTTTATGGAGACCCAAAATGACTTGTTTAATCATGTCTTTTTCTAAAACACCTTATTCCTTTTGATGTCCAGGGAGGGACAGATTTTCTTCTTGTCACCCTGTCCCCTGTCGTCTCGTCAGTCTTTTAAGCACCTCTTTGTTGTTAATCCAAACATCTCAGGGCAGTCAGAGTGAGTGAGCTACTGAAGGATTTTTAATTTTTATTGATTCGCACCAATATTTCAAAGCGCTTGATACATCCATTCAGTGACGTTGACTCAAATGTGCTATTAACTGTCCCACCATTTTTGTGATCCTGTTGGATTTCATGTTTAAGCCTGCTCTGGTTGCGTGTTCCTGTTGAGAAGCATAAAGGATGCTGCAGGGAGCAGTCTTGTAGCCATGGTGCAGGATGCACTCTATAACGCCATCTGTTTAAGTACTTGGTGTTTTCTGTATGAGAATCCCATTCTGACCAGTCCCTGTCATTCAAGATCCTCTGACATGTTTTGCAATCGTGGAAATGTTGAGGTAATTGCATACCTTCCCTGCTCATTTATTTTCAATTAGAGGCAGGAGTCTTCTTTGCATGATGTTGGAAACCCTTGTATCAGGTATCTGCACTGAAAGAGATGCTGTGTTCTGCACCGAGAGTGGATGCTCTCACCGGAGTGCTTTCAGCCGTGCTCTGAACAGGGAGAGTTGACGGAGATGCTTGCCAAGTGCCCTGAGATCCCAGGAGGTGAGAGGCACTATATGACCATGACTAAGTGGATGTACATACATATATAATGCAAGAGCTACTCATTTGTTGTGCTTTTTTACGTTCCAAAATAAGCACATATTTCCATCTTCCTTTAAAACCTATCTTGCTGTTTCCTGAGGGTCTAGACCTGTACTTAATTCCCAAATATACTAGTGAACACAGCCCTTTCTTGCTTAAGTGGCAGGACAGACCTGCTAGTATGAAAGGAGGGTCACTGTTTTGCATTGCACGCTGAACACACGCCTGAGATTGCCTGAGGGCCACCTCCTAGCTCTGGACTGTAACCTGTGCTGGGAGGGAGACAGGAGACTCTGACCCCACTCCCAGCTTCTGGGCAAAGCCCATAACTGTGCAGATGGAGGTACCACAACGGGACACCTGAGCTGCACAAGCAGCGGAGGCAGGGAGGTCCACGTAGAAGTAGAAAGGCAGCAATCATCAGTTCGCACCTCCAAGAAGCTGCCCCCAAGTGATGGCAGGAAGGATCCTGTCCTGCCTAAACCAGTGCAAGTCCCAGCAGAGCAGGGTGTACCCTAGGATGTTTGCTTTTCAAGGACGTATGCATTTTAAGAGTGTTGTTAAGAAATCTGTTTGCTAAGCCTGTTTCTTGTTTTTCTGTCCTACTGTCCTCAAGGATGTCAACTTAGAACAGCTGAGTGCAGGCAGTCCGTAAAAATGGCTGGAATAGGAGGTTTGGGACATCTCAGGCCATCAAGTCAAGGATGATCAGTAGTACCCAGGTCCCACCTCACGATAAAGAGGTTTTTAACATGTTGTCATTTCAATGTCCCATATTTCTTGAGGTTCTGAATTCTAAAAAACATAAAAATTGGACATGATCTTGGGCAGAGGTAACTGGGTTTGCACCAATCAAAAATGTGTCCTGTACAGTAGCTTACATGGCGCCCGTGTGATGAAGTATGAAGAGACTTGAGTGGCCGGGGCTACGCCAGTACCTGTGGTTATAGTCTGTACTGTTATCGGGGGTGAATTTTTGATACAGGGCTGACATTTCTACGTCCCTGCTAGTGCTTGTCTGAATCCACAGTGCCCACGATGGTAGCAGGGTTGAGCCTTTTTTCTCTCTGTAGAGACTAACAGCATCAGGTAATGTTCTGCAATAGGAAATGTGTTTGGATTACAAGAGAAGCAGCTTTCCAAATGTGGTCAAAACCTTTGCCTCAGGCACCTCGGCTTTGTTTCCATTCGTTTTCCTTTAATTTTACTGGATGTTTCACCCTTGGAGTGATAAGCCAGGTCTTTTTCATCTGATAGTTGTTGCAACTCTGTTGCTATGACTACTTAACCCACTTTTTGTTCTCGATACCAGAGATATGAAGAAAAGCGTTCACCAAACTTTTCCCTATGTGCACAACAAAATTCCCCCTCAGGACTTTTGCCCTAATGACCTGTGGATAAAGAGGACTTGGAGCAGCTCTTTCTTCCTAGGTGCTGAATTGCAGAGCACCCAAAGGGTTGCTGCAGCTGAGAGGGACTGACGAGTGCCGCTGAGATAGCATGCGGGGTTTTCAAATTGATGGTGCTCTTATTTAAAAGGATCTTCTGAAGACATGTAAGTGCCTCTAAATTTTTAAGCACAGAAGAAAAGCAAGTACTGGATTCCTTTGAAGATGCCGCAGAAAAATATCACTCGTTCTGTAGCAGATCAAGGTGGTGGAGGGTGAGAGAGCATGGAAGGAAGGAAAGCCCAAGAGAAGATGTTTGTATATCATCGGCACTTTCTGTAAGAAATCAGAGCAATCAGTATGTGTAGGGACCTAGTAGAATATGGAATTTTTCCTTCAAGTAGCACTTGGAGAGAAGTAAAACCAGTTCCCCAAAGTGACTACCTAAGTCCTCAGCTTTTGGCCTTATATTCCACTCATGAGGCTATGGAGACTTATGAAGTCTAAGGCTAGAGATGACCACCTTGATGAGCTGATCTTATCTTCTGCAGAAAATGGACTGTAGATGTTCATTTGCTGAATGCTACCCTCGGCCCCATAGCTCACTGTTCTAAAAAAAACCCCAAGCGCAGTATAGGCTCTTGTTTTATATCCAGCCTTGATTTAAAGACTTGAAGTTGATAGAAAAACTGCTCTGATCTGTAGTACGACAGTTTTGATGATGAATTCCCTTCACTACAAAAAATATGTTCTGGTTTGAATTTTTCTAGCTCCTTTTTCCAGCCGCTGAATCTAGATAACTTTTTACAACCATCACAAAAGCTTGTCTGACATGTAGGCCAGGGACCCGCAGTGAGGATGGTGCTCTGCAACAGACCAGCCATTTGATACTGAAGAGGCACTATCTTTAAAATCTCTGCTTTGTGATACGGGGGTTTAGTTTTTACATATGAAAATGTTGTGAGCTTGCTCTTGCCAGAACTGATAAGTCCTTGCGGTGTCTCCTTTCTCCCCTGTGGTATCCTCTTTCTTCAGAAAGCAGTCACTTGATGCCAGTTGAGCAAATGTGGCTTTGTCTGTCCAGGGAGAAAGGAGCCGAGTGCGTGGTGATGCTGAGGCAGGTTTGGTATTTCAGAATAAGCCGTGGCCAGCACATGTTCAGACAAGCCTTTTGGAGTCCAGGGATTCAGGCACGAGGGGCTCTTGCCTTCTGTTCGCGAGGCTTTGCCTGCGCAAGCTGCTCTGGAGGAGCGTTTCTGAGTGACATGGTTGATTGGGATGGCAGTGGGGAGGTGGCACCAGCTGGGGTAGTCCTCGGAGTGCCATTTGGCTAAATTTGTGCTGTGAATTAAAAGGACAAAAGGTTGCAGTTTAACCCGGGAAGCTTGAGGGAAGAGATTTAACTTCTTCATTTTGTCAGGGTCTTTTTATTTTTCTGCTAACCTTGGTGGCATGGAGCCAGAAGATTAACTACTGCCAGAAAAAAAACCCCAGAACAAAACAAATGAAAAACAGTGATACGATCCTTATTATTACCACTGAGCTGTGCAGAGGGTGATGGAAGAAATTCATACAAGTTTGCTACTAGATGATGCTTTGAAGCTAGGTCACTGCTGTATTTAGTATCTTCCATAAACTTTAGTTAATGTTTTATCTTGGAGAATAGCAGATGGGGCTGAAAAGGGATGTTATAAGAGAGAGACCCCAGTTCTGAGTCGGGGATGGGGATACTGGGAATCTGGGGAGAGTTCAGGTGGGATTTAGAAAGGCTGGGCAAAGACAGAGAGGAGGGTGTCACAAGCAGGGTGACAGTGCTTCAGGGGGAATGGAGGGATTTTGGGGGACATAAATGGCAGGGGGTATGTTGTGTGAAGAAGATGATACTGTGTCCTTAGTAAGGTGCAACAGGTACTGTAAGCGTGATTGCCTGCTGGAAACTGAGGATGAAGTCTAATGCATGTTTCCTCTCTCTGGTGCCCACAGTGTGCCAGATTCTCCCAAAAGGAGTGGTGGGCGTCCTGGGACCTTCTTCAAGCCCAGCCTCAAGCTCTATTATCAGCAATATCTGTGGGGAGAAAGAGGTAAGTGGAAAAGTTCTGTGTTGGAGTAAGTCTGTGCTCTTGCGCTGACTGACTTGGCTCCAGTGCCCTCACGCCCATGGTAAAGCAGGAGCCCGGGCTTCTTCCTCCCGGTGGTTTATGGCAGGCCTGGGGCAAGAGCGGAGTCACCCGCTGTGGGTAAGGGGCACTGCAGAAATCCTGACCCGTTCCCCCGCCCCGCCTTCTGCACGTTGTCCTTCAAACTGAAGATGCTCTCAGTGGGCTCTGATCACAGCAGTGCTTCCCGCTGGCTGCTGACTGGTGCCCAGAGTCCCTGGGAACACGGTGTTTTGCTGGTGATTTTAGTAAGTACGGATTAGGTTTTTAATTTACCACTATACTGAGCAGCAATGCCTTCTGTACAGATCCCATGCTTTCTGCAGCCATGAAGGGTTTCATTTGAGACTCTCGTGTCTATGCCAAGTCCCAGCCACAGCCACACAGCTTGCTGCAGCTTCCAGCTCTGCCTTACGCTGCCTTCTCCCTTGCCTGGGTCTGCCTCTTGCACTTCGTGTTCAAGTCTGGTGCTCTGTTTCTCAGTCATCATTTCTGTGTACGCACGCCTCTCCTTTCCACCCGTGCTCCCCAAACCTTCTCCAGCTGATATCCACATGCCTCATCATCCCCAGTGTATTCTGTCCTCGTGTCCCAGCTGCAAGGCAGAGCAGGGATGTTACTTCCATTAGACAGGGGCAGTGAGGTACCTGCTTATGGTACTTCAGGACATCCTTGGCAAAGATGACTTACTGTAGTCATCTGCTATATCGTCCTTCCCATGATCTGCTCTGGCTTCTAACGATCAGAGTTGACAGCTTGGTTTATCACCCCTTCTCCTAATGCACATATTCTTGCAGCTTCTTCCTTTTCCATTTTCTCTCTCTTTTCTGCCTCCCCTGTCCTTGTTTTTGTCTGTGTGACCTTTCAGTTCATCTTCCCTCACACGCAACGCCGATGAGAACCACGTCCTTACTGACTGAGGGGTGCAAAACCCAAAGCTTGCCCTGGCGGACGCACATCCTGGCCAAAGTTCCTGGGTGTGATGTGACTTTGTAGACATGCTAGGAAAGCTGCACCCCTTTCTGTTTGCTGCTGTTCCATCAATGCAAACCCTTTTTGTCTGTGTCCAGGCTATGTGCCTGATTTAATATTTTATAAGCCATGAACAATTTTACACTGATCTGGCTCTGCTCGCGGGAAAAGAAATTGAGTTCTCTTCTCATAGTTCATCCCTTTAAAGCCAGATAACATCTCTCAGCCATTTAGCAGTCTCTCTCTGGAGCCCAGCCTCCAAGGAGGGGAGTGTCTGGAACTGAGCACTGTAAATAACTTGCATTCACAAATGACTGCTGCTCTTTGTTCCCTGAGAATCAGAAGTGTTGAAGAGATGGAAGAGATCTTTTAGACCTAGTGCTTTGGGCTGCAGCAGGATGGGTCTCTTGAGAGTATTTTGTAGTGCTTTCTCCGGTTAAATGTCCCAGACATGTGCTCCATCCCAGGCAAAGGCAACTCTGCAGTAACAGATTGCAAGTATTCTTCCCCTGAAATTCATATTCTGTCTGAGTCTCTGATCTAAGTCTCTTCAATTTTTTTCGGAAATGAAAGGTGAGTGCTAGTGCACTTCTAAGGTATCTGATTCTCAAGCTTGATCTCGGCTGCCCTCCTAGTGGTGTAAACCTGCAGTAACTCCCTCCGATTTATATCACACGAGCATCAGTTGGTGCTGCTGTGTTGAAGGTAATACAGCAGCCCAGCCAGAGCTGTTGTACTTGCAGCCATCCATCAGGCAAAGGAAAGGGTGTCCCCATTTTACCACCGAGGCACCAGATGGTGAAGTGACTGGCTTGATGTTCACCAGGAGCCTGTGATAAAACAGGGGGATGAATCTGTGTCTCCTGTGTTACCCCTCCAGCGCCTTTGGCCCAAAGATTTCCCTCCCTCCTCTCCAGAAAGGGGTATTGCACTGGGGCATAGCTCTTGGAAAGGAGAGGAGGGCTCCAGGACTGAAGGTGAGGTCTGAACCGGGGCTGTGATCAGCTCTGGGCACTTGCAGGAGCTGCCGTGGTGGTGGCTGCCTTCACCTCTGTCTGCATCTCTCTCTTCTCTAGTAGCGGTTGTTGCAGCAAGTCTCAGACTCCATCAGGCTCCCAAAAGCGATAAGCATGCTTGTACTGGAGCTGCCCTGTCTGCTCTGGTTAAAGGAATTTGCTTTTTGCTTGCAGTCAGCTTCTCTCCCTGTTAACAGGGCCCAGGATGAGGGCTGCAGAGTGAAATCAAGGCAGATAGCAGCTTATTACACTTTAACTTTCCTATTGCTAACCAAACACCTTATGCTGTCAATAAAGCAGCCATCACAAGCTACTAATGGCTTTTCCCAAGAGGAGGGAGATGGGAGGCGTGGGATGGTAGCTTCCAGAAGGACTAATAATGGAGGAAAAGAGGACTTGACACTCCTTTAATGAAGCCAAAGCAGATGTTTCCCTTTCTCTGTCTTCTATCTCTTCCAAATAATTCACTCGGCAAAAGGAAAGCAATATTCCTACTCCTTATTTGGCTGAACCCCCGGTGTCTGAGCTTGATCTGTCTGCCCACCCATTCCCTCTACATGAAGCTGTGAGGTGTGCAGCAGAGCTGCCTCAGAGCGAGCCCTCGGGCTGTCCCCCCGAGCGGCTCCCCTGCTCCCCCTTCCCCGAATTCCCTGGCAAGCGGCGTCCCGCTCCCACCTCCTGCTGCGCTGTATTAATGACAAGCGCAGTGTTATTAGGACCGTGGTTACGGTCCCGATGGATCTTGCCCGCCGTACGGCCACCTGTTACCTCTCTGCTGATCAAAAAAGCCCAAAGCTTCTGGCTGCTGCATCTGTTCCTCTCTCTCCCGAGCCTTGCCAGCACAGGGTCATCTTGTTCATCCCTTCATCTCTCCTAATTACCTGACGACACATCAGTACTGCAGGCAGAGGTGCATTTGCAGCACTTCATCTGTCTAGCACACAGCAAAGTCAGGGGGTCTCCAGCATGGGCTGTGTAACTCCCTGCCTGTCTGCAAAACATCCTCCGTATTTACCCAGGCAGCAAGCCCAAAATGAAGTGTGGGCCCAGCTACAATTAGTGCCCAAGCTAATTAAGTTGAACTCATCCGGAATGGTTTCCTGTGCTGTAATGACAGCCCCTGTTGCCTTTCTCTGAGTGGCTCAGCAAGACTTTTCCTGATCCACTCCTTCCCGTGGCTTCTTGTTGCTGTGATAATTATTTTCCTCTGCTATTGCACAAATCCCACCCTCCTCTCTTCACTCCAGTGATGCTTCTGCAGTTTTATTGGGATATTTCACTTTCTGCCTGCTGTGCGTTTCACACCAAAGGTCCTTTATGGTAGATTTACTTGTTTTTATTTCTTTTTCCTCTTTAATTATGTTTTCTTGCCCCTCCTCCCCGCTTAGGTTCCTCACTTCAAAGTGGCACCAGAGGAGTTCCTGAAGCTGCAGCTCCAACGGTTCACCACCCTCAACCTCCATCCCAGCAACACCGATATCAGCGTGGCCGTGGCAGGAATCCTGAACTTCTTTAACTGCACCACTGCCTGCCTCATCTGTGCCAAAGCTGAATGTAAGTCATTGCCAGGCTGGGTTCAGCTGCCCCTCTGCTCCCAGTGCCTTCTGTTCTGTCTCCTTCTGCGTTGTTTGGTGCCTCCTGGAGAAGGTCCCACAGGCAGCGTGTGAGAGCTGGCTCGCTGTTGCATCCCAGGGTGTTCATCTCTCCTGCTTGTGGTGACAGGGTCTCTTCTGTGGGCAGCAGGCAGGCACTCGGTCGGAGCAGCGGAGACCTGCGGGGCAGATTTTCCACCCTGTTGCCCCGTGGAGGTGTTTGTGGTGTTTGTGAGAGGAGGAAAGGGGATGGAGAGAGATTCGCCTGCCTTCTGTTTGACAATCTGAAGAGTGTTTTGCTTGCACAGATGGGTTTTTGAAATGAAAAAAAAAAAGGCTTAGGCTTGTTTCTGGAGATTATTTTAGGCAAGTAAAGCTTTTTGAAATATGTCTTTCCCAAACCCACGTGCAGTTTGTGGCCTAAAAGCAGGACTTGATTAATAGTCAACACACTGCACACCCTCTCGGGCTCTGCAGCCATACATCTGCTGGTAATTGTGCATCTGGATGCTGGAGCATTCACCTCAGCAAGACCATATTCATCTCTGCATAACTCTCCTAACATGGCAGGAGCAGGCTCTGCATCGCAGTGGTTAGAGGGAGGAAAGTGTGTTCTGTGCTTTTTAAGGTCAGTGTGTAGGTAGGTAGCTGGTGTATAGTAGCTACACCAATTTTGCTTTTATTGTCCTGTAGCCAGATCCATTAGCACTAAAGTTTATCATACAAACAAGCCTAGAAAAGGGGTTTTGAAAAGGCACATGGATCCAGGGAGAGCTCTGGGCATACTGGCAAGAGCTTAGCAGTCTCTGACTGTGGGGCCAGGTACAAAGGAAAGGCAGCATCCTTTCCAGCTAGCCCTGGGCAAACTTCACACCACCAGCTGTGCATGTAACACAGTGTTGTGCAAACTCCTGCACAGGGACAGAAGGAATAAGAACGTCTTTGTCTTTTGCTTTATGTACCCTGAGGAGACCAGATCCTCAGCTGATGTCAGTCAGTAAATTGCCTTCAGTAAGCATGCTCAGATTTACCCCAGCAGAGGACCTGACCCAAAATTATGCAATTAAAATCATGCAAATGGTCTCCTACATTACTTCTAGTGCTGGAATTTTTCATAGTCTAACCTTAACCTTAAGCAAAAAGGAAAAAAAAAAAAAAAAAGGAAAAAACGATAATTAGGTTTTCTCACCTGTCATGCAGCATGGTCACAGCTCTGTCCTCGCACTGCTGCCAGGCATGGAGCACACATATACACATCAGCACACTGCCATACACCCCTGCCCTTCTCGCCAGTTACATGCCGGTGCCTCCCATCGAATGCAGCCTGGTATGAATATGAGTCTTCATTTAAGTGGAATAAAGCTTTGGGAACCAAATAGCTTGCATTAAAATAACACCCTTTTAATTGAATCAATCCAGTTTATTTTACTCTGGTATTCCTCAATAACTCAATATTTAGCATGTGCTGTGCAACCCAAGTCCTTCCCAGACCCAGGGAAGCAGTAGGATGGGTGCCTTTCATGAATCCTGCTCTTTGTGCTCAGTAAGGACCTTATCTGAGCTAGGCTTGAAGCACAACACGCTCTGACTATAACGGAGTGCAGAAAAGGCATAATCCAGCTTCATGTAGGAGCACAAGCCCTTATTTTCCCTTAGGACAAGCAGTGCTCCTAAGCACAGTCCTTAGACAACTAACTTGAGGCACTTTGGGCTTTCAGAAGGTTCCCTGGAGGCAAATAAGGGGAGTATATGAGCTGTCTGCTCATCAGTGGGGAAATGCTGTTTTCAGGGATGTTATTATTTAGATCCCAGGAGGGAAAGTCATAGCTGTTTTTGTTTAAGTACAAGGCTGTGTGATGGGACTCCTGGGTCCTATCCTGTCACGCTCATACTATCACTGTAAGGAGTCACATCCTTCTTCTGGGGACTGATTGTAATTTCTTCTGGCAGAAGCAGAAAATGACCCTTAAAGTCAATGAACTTAGGCCAACCTAAGTGTAATGCAATGGTGAATAGAATAAGATTATGTGATGTAGTTTCTCTGCGGTGTGGAATAATCAGCTAGTTTGTGAATTGCTCTGAAGTCCTAACATGGAAGGCTTTGTGTGATTCCACAGAAACCTTAACTCAGAAAGGCAACCCCAGAAAAATATAGGGGTGCACAGGCTTCACAGGAGCTACTCTGTAAGCTCTGGTTGTCAGAGGGGAGGAAATAACACCCAGTGTTTAGGAAGGGAGACCAAGGCACTGAGGTCAAAAAGCTTGTTCATACCCTAGGGCCACAGAGAGAAGCTTGAAGCAATGCTGTTGGGTGTAAGAGTGAGGCTGGATGATAGGAATCGCCATTTCTCTTCCTAACCATCAGGGTCAAGGATTGCACCAGTGCAAACCCGGTGCAACCATAAACAGAACTGCAGGTCCCCTGGGCCTTGGTCAGCAGAGCTCAGAGAGAAGGAGGCTGTCGCCTCTCCAGTAGCCTCATGGGCAAAAGCAGTAAACAGGGATGTGGAACTCCATGAAAGCCTCCAGGTCCTGCCTTTCCTGCTTCCCAGCAGTGTTCCCTGGCAGCAGGCTGTAAGGTGTGCCAGGCACTCTGGAGAGGAGGCCATATCTGCAGAGAGCTTGGGGCTGGACTACTCCTGCCAGCTCCGAAAGTTTGCATAAGAAAAGGAAAAATAACATAAGCAAGGTCAGGACTTCCCACTGGTCAGCTCGAACCACTGACCTGCCTCAGTGCGTACCTATGGTCCCTATAGGACTGCTCAAGCAACACGTGCCTGATGCAGCCTCTCTGTGCACGGTGGTCCTCACTTTAGTACTTCAAAGTTGCCAGGAGGGGTCTACAAGCCCTTGCTCATGTTCAGCCTGCAGAGCACCCTTCTGAAGTGCCAGTCTGTCAGCAGCAGCATTTCACATCTTCTCGTCATCAAACAAAGGGGAATCTCTTCAGATAATAGAGACTTGCCTCCACGCGGCAAGAGGAACTGCAAGCGGGAGGCCCGATGAGGCTACACGTAGGATCTAACGTGCTGGAAACGATAATTTCCTTGAGCCACAGGAGGAGATCAAATGCTTCCTTTTTTTCCTGGTCCCACTTCCTCCTTTCTGTGCCTGACGTGCTTTAGGAACTTAGCTGGGCTCTGCCTTTCTCACCACAGAGGCCAGGGTGGCTTTCTTACCTGGGCTTGTGCCCCGGTGAGCTGTGGGCTGGAGGAGAAGGCAGCAACTGAGGTGCAGGTGTAGACAGCAAAGAGAAAAAATGAAGAGGAAGCTGAGGCTCTGATGCGAATCACAAACTCATAGCAGCTGGCAGAGGGATGCTCTCCAGTTTGCAAGATTACCTTACAGCTGAGATATACAACCTTTGGCGTTAAGCAGCAGGATCTAATTTTCTTTCTGCAGGATATTAAATAGAAAAGGTGCATCCAAAGGGGGCAGCTGAAGATTTCCCTCCAGATTCCCGCACCCTTCTGTGAATTTCTGTCCCCTTGAAATTCATGTCATGGTGTAAATCTGGGCTTCTCCCACCAGCACGGTGGCGTGCAGAGTAGCGCAGCTTGCCCTTTTCTTTCAGGTCTGTCTAAAGCTGAGTGCTGCGGGGCTGCGATCTCTGGGAACACTCGGTACCGACTGCAGCGCAAGCACTCCCCGCTGCCAGCCTCTGCTTCACCGTGGTGTTTGCCTGGGAACTCTCTCCAAGGGCAGAAGTATTTTATGATGTTCAGCGATAGTCCTGGGGACTTCAGTCCGTGGGCTGCAGTGGCAGCAATGGTGGGTCCTGGCATCAGCGGCCAGGCGCGCTCAGCCCTCATCACTGACTTAAATTGGGTGCAGGCTTGGTAGTGAGCGCTTAGGGAGCTGCATCTAGAGCTGCCTCTCTTCCTCCTGAACACCTGCTTCTCACAGACTACAGTGTTAAATGCCATGAAATTTAGATCATTGCGGAAAAAAAGGGTAATTTCCCATGTCTTCCTTTTTTTTTTTAATTCAAGACTTTTATGAAGTTAGTGAAGTGCTCGTAAAACCTTCCTCAGTTTCACAGCAGCACATTTTGCTGGGATGAGCTGTAAGTAAACTTGGTGTGTTCAGGACTGTTACTTGCAGCAACCTGCCTGGTCCATTGCAGATGTGGAATAAAGTGAAAATAAACCTTACAGGCATCAAATGGAGGGCTTAGGTAAAATTTACTGTTCACTTGAGCTAGCATACAAAAATAGTATTCAGGTGAGGTCTAGCCCATGTGTCCTGTACACAGAGTGAATTCCCTGGCTAGTGAGAAAGAAAAAGAAGCTGGAGTGATCCAGAGAAGTCCTTGCTGTGACTGTTTTTGTAGTCCCTTGCTGAGTTCCTACCTGTACTCGGAGAAAAGGGAAGAGGTGAATGCATTGTAAAGAGTTCAGTGCAAACTTCGCATGCTGAAACTCTCACTGTGAATGAGAGACATCCTCATCTTGGATGTATCCCTTTTAATGCACTGCTTTGTTACCTTTGTGAAGTGCTGGGAGTCCTTGAAAGCAGCGCTTTGGAACACTAATCACATCACATTGTATCACTTCCCTGGCCCCTGACCTTCTGGTGAATGAGCGGTTTCATGCAGTCAAAAGTACAGTTAGGTTAAGAGTAGACCTCTGACTTGAGGATGGGTTTTGCCCCTCCGCCAGCTGGGATGTGACTCTGCTGATAGTTCTGTTCTTTTCGATTTCCTTCAGTTCAGCTTTCCCCCTTCTTTTTGGATTGTCTTTCCTTAGGGACGGATGTGTGACCACGCTAGCTGTCTGTGTCTTGCTAATGATTACATGTGGTCGTCTCTCTGGTCAATCAAACTTGACAGGAGGTTATTTCCTGATGAAACTCAGCAGCTGGATAGAAGAGACAGACTCTATCAAATCTGCTTTCTTGACTAAGAAAAGCTGCAGCAGGAGCTTTGATGTCTTATTAGACATCAAAGAAGCTGTGTTGGAAGGAGCCCTTGCAACGACCTAGCTGCAGGAAGAAAATTCAGTCAGAAGTGCTGAAGGCAATAGGGCACAAGCCCAGGGAAGTCGGGACTTATCCATGTGGGTGCTCGCTAATTATTACTTCTTTCCTTCAGCTCCCATCTGAAGGGAGACCCGGTCCTGCAAACTGCTTGGGGAGTGCCGAGGTAGCCAGAGTCCTGGCTCTTCCCTGTGTCCGATCACATCCAGACGCTGCCGCGGAGGCGGAGGGCTGTGCTGTGCTGGGGCACTCGGAGGGCTCGGTGGGGGCACAGGGGAGGCAGAAATGCGGATGGCAAAGCAGAAGGAGGGAGGAGGGCTTTGATGTGGAGGTGGAAGGTGGGTCTCCAGGGTCCTTGCCCCGTGGTGGAGCTGCTGGACTGCAAACATTTTCCTACTTTACTCTCTAATTTCTCCATAAAGCACCAAATATGCTGGTTTGGTTTTTTTATTATTGGCTTCCGTGTTGCTCTAGGAATCCGCAGTCCACAAGCAATTCTGCACTGTGCTGGGACCATACTCACAACATTTGTCACAATTTTTTAATGTAGACCTAATGTTGTATTCTTGCAATGATCTCTGCTTTGTCTGACACTCAGCAGAGCTTTCCATCCCAAGGGACGGATGCCCTTGGAAGATAGCAGCTCCCCATCAGAATGCTCCAAGATCTCCAAAGTGTATCAAGTTGTGCCTTGCAGGGCACTTGGTTTGTGAGCTAGTAATGCAAAGGCTTAGGAGAAGGGATCATCCTCCAGCAACCAGTGATAACCAGAACAATGCCACATGCAGGAAGATAATGGAGAACTTTTTTGGACTCTGGGCTCCTGAGCAAATTTGTATCAGCAATCTTATCTCCTGCCAAGAGGCCTTTGGGGCCACTTTTTGGCTGGAGAACAGCTGGAGTACCTCCATCATTTCCCATTCCCCGTTGGCCCAAGCAGCGAGCCTGTGCTGAAACCCCAAATCCTTTCCTTTGCAGTGCATAGACGCAGAACTGCTTCCTACTGGGGATGACTACGGGCCATGAGAGAACTGCTTTTTGAACCAAGTGTAAAACTTAGAGGTATCTGGTTTTTTCTCTCTTTTATTTGAAGGCCTTTTAAACCTAGAGAAGTTGCTTCGGCAGTTCCTCATCTCCAAGGACACTCTCTCAGTCCGGATGCTAGATGACAGCCGGGACCCTACCCCTCTTCTAAAAGAGATCCGAGATGACAAAACAGCTACCATCATTGTACATGCCAATGCTTCCATGTCTCATACCATTTTGCAGAAGGTAAGTGTCTATTAAGTGTCACAGCTGTAAATGCTGCTGCTTCCACTGAACGAGATACTGCATGCCGTACATGAGCATGCATGTGCAGGTGTTGTGTGATAATGGAGTGTTAAAGTTCCTGCAGCAACACTGGAAATGGTCTCAGCTGAGAGGGGAATTGCCACTGATAGAGTTTCTGGGGAAAATAATTTGCTCTCTCTTTCCAGGACTGTATCTGTAGAAGCAATGGTTTAATTGCTCTGAGCTGATGTGTTTGCTTTCTGGAAGTGGTGTGTGCTTGTGGCTCGTGTTGCCATCAAACAGTCATGGAGGGCTGCTTAGTGCTCTGAATTAGTCAATCAGTGCAATAGATTTTTCTTTTTTTCTCCAAGTACATTTCTAACTTTTTCCTTCCTTTTTTTATCATCTTATTAACCGAGATTTTATTTTAATCGTGTTTATTTTTAAATGGTCTCTTGCTGCAGTTTTTAGCATTTGTTTTGATAGTCTACTTCAGAATTGAGCAGTGGCTCCAGATGGAGTCTAAAGTTGTGTAGAGTTTCCCACATCCTGGAAGGAACAAGAAGTACTTTCCTGAATGGAGGCAGGATCCAAGCAGTGGGGTCCCCCCTTGGCTGTTGGTGCAGGCATTACACACGGTGTCCCGGCTGCGGTATCAGGGAGTCAGTCATTCAGAGGCCTTGACTGTATCAGATTTATCCCTCATGACAGCCAGCAGAAACCATTAGAGCTGTTTTTGTTACTCCCCACCTACCCTCCGCAAAGATTTCTATTCCACTGCTTGCAATTTGGCACTTCTAAATAGGCAGGTTTGGGGTTTTTTTGAGTCCCCTCGATGCAGGGGGGGGTGTGTGTGTTTTTTCTTTTTTTTTTCTCCTGGTCCCTGTTGCCTGCTGCCTGGCTGCTGAGGGCTGTCCCCCTCCTCTGTTGCTATAGTGACTTCCCACAGGCACACAGCAGCGATCTTCAGGCACCCGCACTCTCCCTTCCCGGCTTGAGCGTCCTTCTGCCACAACTGATAAAGATGTCAGAGACTGCCACGATTTTTCAGCAGTTCAGTAAAAACCTAATGTAGTCTTCCCGGCTAGAGGATTGTAGGAATGGAAGGTAATAAATAATGAGCTTCTGATCTGGCAACTTCTTGCACCTTGGGAGGCTGGAAAGTATTTTCTTTATAGAGGTGCAACCAGAGTAGGGAGTGAGGTTGTGGTGAGCAAGTAGGTACATCCTTGGTCCCCACCCACAGGTCACCAAAAGCTGGGAAAAAGAAAAGCCGGAAAAGAAAAATGCACTATTGGTTTGAAAGTGCCTTGTGTCAGACCTGTCTCAGGAGACCAGTCCTGGCCTCGGACAACGACAGAAATTGCAATTTCTCATCTCTTACCTTCCACATATGGTCTGGAGACACATGGTTGCTTCCTTGATTACCAGCCTGTCCCGGCTGCCCACCTGCCAGCGGGCACGTTAAATGGATGGGAGCGATGCTCGCAGGAAGCGCTTTGTTGCTCGCTTTGATTTTCTGCCCTTGAAATCAAATGCACTGACTTCAAAGTGGGTCAGAGGGAGAGCTGACATTATCGCTGTCCCCAGGAAGGGAAAAGGGAGGGAAATGGGTGCCAGGTTTTATTGTGTAGGGCTTAAAAATGAGGCAGCTGTCTGGAGAGCTGGCCGAAAGGCAGGTCGGCAGCCTCCTCTGGAGTCTTGGTGCTCTTTTGGTCAAATGACTTTGCTGTGTCCATTTTGCTACCTGTGCAAGGGACACGGTGAAAATGTGCAACCAAAGGGCTGGGCACAGCCAGACCTAAGCCACTGTCAGTCCTCTGTGTGCATCCAAAGCTCTCCCTGCTGCCTGTGTCCGCTCCCGCTGCAATGGTGGTTTTGTGCAGAAATAGGTAAAGAACAGGCAGGAATAGGGAGACATGCAATCTAAGCCACCTCTTCTCAGTATCTTTCCTTCACTCGCTTTCTGTTGTGACCATCCTCCAGCTTCTGGGTGAGATGGAAAGGGACTAAAACCAAGTAAGGAGATGCTGCCTTTGGGCCTTCCCTCCCTGCCTCCCGTTCCTCTGTGTGGTCTGGGGTGATGGGAAAACCTCTTTGCCAAGGTCTGGAAGCATTATTTGAGACCAGCTGTGCTTGGCAGTGAAACATAGGCTTGCAGGAGGATCTGCAGATTAATCCCCAACTTTCCTGAGCATCTGTTCCCACAACCAACTCCTTGTTGACTGAGAATTTTGAATTTTGGAAAAGGACTTCAATGATCTGGTCTGTGATCTCTAGAAAAGATCATCCCGTGGAAAAATCTGTGTCCTTCTCTCTGCATCTCCAGACACTTTTACCCTCTTTTTTCTATTTCTGTGGCCATTGCAACTCTGTCTAAATTCTGGAGAACAGGCTGAGTTACTAGGTTTCATTCATGCTAATTAATCTGTGGGACTGGCGCCCAAATCTGACTGATACATGTGGGAGAACCACCACTGGGATGACTGTCCTTTTTCTGTAACTCCAGAAGAGCTTTTTCTGCTTTGCTTTCTGCATCTGTGGTGAAAGGAGACCAAGCCCTGAGCTTTCTCAACTGCCGCTTTCCCTCATTATATTAAAAAAGACGTTGGTAGTTGATCAGGAGAAAAGCAGCATTGATTTACAAAGCGGCAAACCTCAGCAAACCTCGCTTTCCTCCAAACACACTGCACAGCTGAGGAACAACTCACCCCAAGGGGCTCCGGAGGTCTCAGGCTGGGGCTGCGGGACCCCACCTCGCCTCGCCAGGGTCTGTACGGGCCGTTGCTGTTGGTTCTGCACCTGCAGAAATCCCCGAATGTCATCTTGCGCCGTGCCACAGTGGGAGCGGGGATGCTCACAGGGCTCCGGAGCTGCGGCTCGTGCAGCGTTGGGTCATTTCTCTCTGCCAGGCAGCCCCTGTGCAGGTGCTTTGTCAGTGCTGTTGCAGAGGGGAGACCTCGGAGGTAGGCTCAGTCCTGCTGAAAAATTAGTTCCCCAGACTTTAATTTCACAGGTCAAACTGTGTTGCTGTGTCCCACCCTTCCCCGCCTGCAGGAAGAGAGCAGCGCTTGCACGGAGCGATAAGGATGAAAAAGCAAATGTGGCCCAGTCTCTGCCTTGCTGGAGTGGAGATTGAAGATTGTCAGGCTCTGGTCTAATCTCCTTTCCTCTCCTTCACAGGCAGCTGAACTGGGAATGGCGTCTGCCTATTACACGTATATCTTCACTAATCTGGTAAGACATTTTTCTCGGCTTTTCTCCCGTGTGCGTGTAGAGTCATGTTAATGGGAGCTGATCTCCCTGGCCCGTGGGAGTGCTGGGAAGAGCCACGTGCTTACGGAGCGGGGGATCTGCGGTGGAGGGAGGGGGAGGCGAGGAGGGGTGTCCCCCTGCAAACCTGAGCATCAGTCAGGGAAAGTCTTGCCCTGGCCTTCGGGAGGTGAAAGCCGACGGGTGCCCGGCAGAACCGATCGATCCCGTGCAGCTGCCAAAGGCAGGATTTGTAGATGTTGCGGCCAGAGGCAGTGCGATGAGATGTGCAGGTCCTTGGGAAGCACCAGCAGACGCGTGGTTCCTGACCAAGGGCTCAGGAGGGTTACGCTGGAGATGTCAGCCCCTGAGCCCGTTCTCCGTGCCGGGAGAAGGGCGGGCTGTACTGGGGCGTGCGTGCGGAGGGCACCACGGCCCCGTGCTTTTCTGCCGTCCCTCTGAGAGCAGCTGTGTAAGACAAAGGAAGGATGATACCATAAATGTTGAGAGGCAGAGCGGGGCATATCTTCAGCATGGCCCCTGGTGATTTGGCTTTATAGCTACTAATAACATTAATGGGGGGATCGTACGGTTAAATCCCTGAGTGCTGTGCTAAACAAGGAGTAATGGGCTTAGGCAGCAGCAGGGGGAAACCCAAAATAAACATCAGAGAAACTTCTCTTGCAGCAGCTACAAAGCTCTTGAACAGGCTGCTTAGTGGCGTGGGGGAAATGCTACCGCCAGGGAGACCAGATACCTACCTATTAATTCTGGTGTGGGGATGATGGAAACCTGAGTGCGGCAGGACGGGCTGGATGATTAAGTGGAGGTGCCTTCCAACCCCAAATGATACTCATATTCTCTAATTTCTATTAATATTTATGCCAGGGTGTGCGTGTGCCAGGAAAGCCGAGAGCTGAATCACACTTTGTGTTTGGGTGGGAGACAGACGGGAACGGATGAAGCCAAATGTGTAGGCAGGAGAGCTGGAGTGGAGAGGAGGAGGGGGAAGGAGGGAAATGGAGGGGTTGAAAGCCAAGAGAGCAACTGGGACAGAGAAAGGAAAAGGGATAGGGAAAGGAGACATCAGAAAAGAGAAAAATGCAAAAAAAAACCCCCCAAACCCAAACCAAAAAAACAAAACCCACAAGCTTCCTACCTGAACTAATAGCATTCTGATTCCTGCTTAGTGCTTGATCCATAGGTCCTAACCTTGCTCAATAGCAGTCCAGCAAGAACAAGCTTCGCTGCTCCTGTTTATCCCCATGCAAACGATCGGCACCGGGCAGCAAAGCAAAAGGAAGGGGTGTACCTGGGGGGGATCAGCCAGTGACGGACGCTGAGGGAAGAGCTGCACCCTCGGGAGGTGAATGTCACTTGTTTTAAGGCAGTGGCTGCTGCTTTGTGATTTCTCACCCCCAGTTAGAGCATAGCTGTGCTGGTGCTGCTGGTAGAGCTGGTAAGGGACAGTGGCTGTCTTCATCAGATCCTGCTCACAGCACTCAACCACTCCAGTCATTTGCCAGTCCCAGCAAGCAGTTTTCCTGTTGCCCTCTGGTCCCAACAACTGTTTCTTGTTCCACTTGCCCTCCCCAGTCCCAGCAGTTGCTGTGCACCCCATGGACCGGGACTATGCACATAGTAAGGGATTTCTATTTGCACATCACAAGCACAGTGGAGTCCGTGTTCCTGGATGGCGCTCAGACAACAGAAATATAAAAATTAAGCTCCCCACTGCCACCACCACCAGACTGGTTTTGAGCATGGGTGTGATTAAGCGTTTGCTCAAGGTTAAGAGGTGAAATTTGTCTTTGAAACCCACTCATCTAGTGTAATGCAGTTACGGCAGGTGAGAGAGAAATGAATTTTGTTGCCGTTCACTCTCACGGGATATTAATCTGTTTACCCAGGCTATTTTACCACTTTATCCAAAAGACCAGCCCTCAGCAGAGTTAACTGGATTTTTGGCAGGGACCGTTAAAGAAAGGTGACATCGGGCAAAACCTGGGCAGATGGAAGAGATGTTTAAGGAAATTAGTAATATTTAAATGGGGATGAGAGATGGGAGTGAGCAATTTAGACTAATAAATCTGGAGGGATTATCAAGCTCCTAATGAACCCTCTGAGGCTTTGCAATCACTGCCTAATAGAAAAGATAAAAATCATAGTGAACTGCTGTCAAGGGGAGCAAGCAAAAAGATGGCTTTAAATGGAGGGAGAACCCATCAGAAAGGGAATAGACAGTTTGTATAGCATTAAGCTGCTTGGAAATGGAAAAATATTTCAGGCAAAAAAAGAAGAGAAAAGGGGATAAAATGCTGAATTAAACACCTGCCCTGCGGCACTAGAGGGGAATTCTGTTTCTGTCTTCTAGCATTAATTTTATTTAATAAGCACATCCCAGCCGACAGCTAGTTGTGCGTCGCAGCTCTTCTCTCTGCGGAGTGTTAGATGGAGGCAAGTTGCTGCAACTCCCCTGGCGCCGGTCCATGGGAGAGCAATTCGGGGGTGACGGCTCCTCCTTAGCCAGCCTGATGAGTGCAGATAGCGTCAGCATTGCTTTCCCCACCGTTCAAGGGGGAGGCAGAGCGGTGCGTGAAAACAGATGCCAGCCTTTGGCAGGAGATTGCGGGAGCAAATGAGGAGGAAGTCCTCGGCCCCCAGTGCATTTCCATCGGAGCCGAGGCGAGCAGCCTGATGTAAAAATATCCACAGGCTAATTTACTGCGTGCGAATTCATTATCAGCCTCCTTCAGCCAGCTCAAGGGACGCTTTTTGTCAGCAACAGAAGCTCAACAAATTTTCCCGGAGTCCTAATGAAACTCGCAGAACAGAGCAGGTCTGTTGCATTTTTCTTCCCCACGTCTGTCATCTGCGTACGGGGTACTCGTGGCAACTGAGCACCCTTCTGTCCTCAGGCCCCTTGCAGAAAATCTCAGTCTGACCCAATTTTCTTCCTGGTATCTCCACAAGGTGACAAACTCCCTTGCTCTGGGACTTACCCTTCTGGGAGGGCTGAAATTTCCTGATGATTAATGGCAAATGCTGACCCAGTGGCCAACTGCTCCCTGTGCCTTGGTTTGTGCGGTGCCGAGATGAACTCAGAGCTGCTCTCGTCGTCCCTTCCCCACTCCCCAGCAGGGCACGGGGGTTTTGTGTATCCACACAGCTTATGACCACGTAAGGGGGCGATGGTGTGCTCCATAATAATAGTAATAATAACAATAATGCCAGTGCATAAATAAAGCATTGCAGGCAGGCTGTTGTGCATTGAAAAAAATGTTCCTCCTAGTGCTGGAAATCCTTGAAATCAGCAGTGCTGAGCAGGAGGGGTTGTTGGATGCCTCCAAAATCCCGTGCTACAATTAATTCTTTTAGCTTGTTAATTCTGTGTAGCTTGTTAGTTTTTGTCTTTTTTTTCTCTGTCTCTCTCTCTCTTTTTTTTTTTTTAATATAACGTATGGACCTCAGGCTGGGTTTAAATTTCAAAACATTTATCAAGGAGATTAGATGGAAATAATTGAAACAATTAAAATTATTACTGTAAGAAGGAAGGTGTAAGGGAGTTTTACTAGTGCCTTGAGTCAGATGGTCTATTCATTGGATGCAGTTTTGTTCCCTGACAATATTGTGCGCAGGTGTTGTTGCTGATAAAACAGCTGCCGTATTCAATTTCCAGAGACCAGATAAATCAGTTTTGGTTTGTTTTTTTGTTTCCTGTTTTTTCTTCTTTGTTTAGTGATTTATAAAGAGGTTGGTCTTCATACAGGATGAAGTTTTCAAAGCTGAATTGCCACTCTGGATGCCCCGTTGGAACTGGAGGGGAAATTAGTGTCCAAATCACCCAGACAACATCACACGTTTCAGCGGTAGCTTGTCATTATGGTAACATCCTTTGGAAGGAGGGAATGATGTAAAGCGGAGGGAAAGTGGACTACAGCTTAGTATTTGACCAGGGCTGTGGAGCTTAGGTTTTCAGTCCTGCTTTGTGAAATTACTTTCTATTGTGAAAATGACCGTCTCTTTCTGTGTCTGGTTCTGCGGCGCGAGCTCTGGCGCAGGCCATGGTGTTTGGCCTCGCTGCACGAGGTCTGCTGGCCGCAAGCACCCTCGCGCTCCCTTGCACAAGTGAAGAAGGCGAAGTCTTGTGTTGTGCTTTGACAAATTTTACCTTGCAGTCCAGCCAGCCTTCCTGATTCCCAGTAGCTGATGCAAACCTTTTTGTAGAGCTCTGATCATTCCGTGGATTTATGGTTCATATTTTCGGTGGCATGTGGTAGCAGGGCAAACAAATCAGGTTTTTGCAAGGATGCCAAAGCAATTCTTCCTCATTCCAGTTAGCAAGAGAAAAGGAGGATTTAGATGAAGCAGTAACTGTACCTCCCTGTGTTTTGCTGCCTGTGCTACCTTACCTGTCTGGGTCATCTTTATGCATTGTTCAGAGTTCACCCTGTGCTTGAATTCCAGTTGTTGAGTAAATCGTTCTCTCAGATACAGCCCAGGCCCTCTGATGGGAGAGCAAACCTCTCTTTTCCTCTGCCCTCATGCTGTCTTGTCCTATTTGTCCTTCAGACTTTCTGCCCCTTGTTTTCCAAGAGTTGTGCTTTTCAGGTCCCAACAGTAGCACTTGACCTCTTTGCTCTTTGAGTATTTGTCACTCTTCAAACTTCAGGCTCCCTGCAGAGAAGTTGAAGTAAATTGCTTTCACTAAGTATGTGGGCAATGTATTTTCCTAAAGTGCTCTTGTTTGAAGAACAGCCTCCGAAATTTAATAGCTCTCCTTGCATGAGGAGGTAAAAGACCCGTCCTTACTAGCATATGGCACACTGATGCTTTGGTGAGGTGTCAACTTTCTAAGAGCAACCAGATTATATATGGACAGTTCCCCTGAATTGTCCCTGAGTTCACTGAGATCGCCGTTCCTCTTTAACTACATGAATGGCTGAGTAACAATCCCTTGGGTAGATCTCCCACATCCACTTACT